ATTTTATTAGGGGCTCATACAACTGTTATCCCAATCCATACACACATCAATTGTGTAAAGCGCATTTGTACATCATTTCTCAAAACATTTTCTCTTCACTTAAACTCCCAACATTAGGTCCTCATTTTTCCCCTCTCTCCCAAAATAAATATTTTTTAAAGTCGTTCATTGTGCTGAGTGAAATAAACCAGACACCAAAGGACAAACATTGTGATTCCAATTGTAGGAAATATCTAGAATGGGCAAATGCTGAGGCCAAAGTTGGTCAGTGATTACCAGGAGTTGGGAAGAGGGAGAAGTGAGTTACCACTTAAGGTAAACTGTGTTTCTGTTTAGGGAGATGAAAAAGTTGGACATAGATAATGGTGATGCTAATATAACAATTAAGTATAATTAACATCACTGAATTAGACATTTAAAATGGTTAAAGTAGCAAATGTTTTGTTATATATATTTTACCACAAAAAATTTCCTAAAATTTGCACCATACTTTGCTTACAGAGATATGTTATCAATAAATATTAACTATGGATATAAATTTTTTTAAAGAGCTTTCAGTAGTGGAAAAAAATAAATAAATTGTGGTATGGTTATACAGTGGTACTGTTCAGCTGGTACTATTAATGAATAAGCTGCCTTCTATATCAGCAATGCGCCTTAGTGGCTCAGTGGTTAAGGGCTCAGTTGTTAATGAAAAAGTCCATGGTTGGAACCTTCCATCTACTCTGTGGGAAAAAGATATGGCATTCTGCTTCTGTACGCCAGTTAAAACAGAAAGCGGCCAACGTTTCATAAACTACTCAGCACTTTAAAATGATACAAAATCATATGTTATTTACAGCTAAAATACATATGATAAAAGTATAAACATATAGATTTGAAAGATATATATGAAATTCATGATACTGCTAGCTCTGGGATGGAGAGGGGCAAACAGAATTAGGAACCTAAGAAACTTCAACTTCATCTACATTATTTCATTAAAGAGTCACTTAGGGTTCAGTATAGCAATAATGAAACCCACAACCTTCTTCTAGTTCTTAAACGCTTCCTCCCCGCAACTACCATGACCCCAATTCTGCCTTGCAAACCTGGTTAGACCAGAGGATGCACAGCGGTAAAGATGGAAACTGGAAACACAGAGAATCTAAGACAGATGAACCCCTCAGGACCAGGGGTGACAGTGGCGATACCAGGAGGGAAGTGGGCGGTAGAAAGGGGGAATTGATCACAGGGATCTACATATAACCTCCTCTCTGGGGGTTGGGCAGCAGAGGGGTGGGTGAAGGGAGATGCCGGGCAGTGTAAGATAAGATATAATAATAATTTATAAATCATTAAGGATTCATGGGGGAGGGGGGAAGGAGGGGGAGGGGGAAAAAGGAAAATGAGCTGATTCTGGGAACCCAAAAGGAAAGCGAATTTTGGGAATGATGAGGGCAACAAATGTATAGGTGTGCTTTATACAATTGATCTATGTATTGTGATGAATTGTATGAGCCCCAATAAATGATTAAATTTAAAAAAAGAGAACAAAAGCAAATAAGCATAAAGGTAATATGACAAAATTCTTAATATTTGTTTACTCTGGGTATGAGATATATGGATGTTAATTATACTACTTTCTGTGTTTGTTTTCTTTTCCCCTCCATATAACTTTTCTTTTCATAAAAATGAGGTGTTAAATAAGGGAAGGGGTATAATTTAGAATTTGTTCTAAAGCAAAATGGAAATAGATACAAAGAAAACAGAGATAAAAACATATTATGATCAATGTATATGGACCCAACTGTCGTTACAAATCATAAACTCCCCCCCATATTCCTTACCCTCAGATCTAAATATTGATCCGAGTGGCTGAAAAGGAGGAAAAAGTAAAACTGAAGTGGACTTGGAGTCTTCAGTGTGACAAGTGCATTTCAAACATTTAAAAAACAAAAACACCATAAATTGTGAGGGGGGGAAAAATGGGTCATTTAGCAATATCACTATTTATAAAAAAACTCCTTAAGATAAAAGATACATAGTAAAGTTGAAAATCAAAAGGTTAAAAGAGAGATATACCTAAAAAAAAAAGGTACCTATCAAGTAAACAGATTAACCAAAGAAAGCTGGTTTGGTTATACTATTACCCAATAACACAGATGCTCATTCCTAAAGGGAATGAAGTCCACTCACCAAACAGATAACAATTCTGAGCTGTATGAATGTAACAGAATCACCTCAAAGTATATCAAACAAAAATGGACAGAGGTACAAAAGGAAAAGACACACGTCCATCATTGGTGGGCATGTGTTTCTAACAAGTGATAGGTCAAACATAAAAATCAGAACCAAAGAGAGAACACAAACACCCACTGCCATCGAGTCCACTCCAATTCAGATCAATTCTGCACAGGGTATGTGAGACTAGATCAGTGGTTCTCAGCCTTCCTCATGCCACCACCCTTTCATACAGTTCCTCATGTTGTGGTGACACCCCGATCATAAAATTATTTTCGTTGCTACTTCATCACTGTAATTTTGCTACTGTTATGAATCGGGCGATCCCTGTGAAAGGGTCATTTGACCCCCAAAGGAGTCACAAACCACAGATTGAGACCTGCTGCTCTAGATCTTTACTGAGCAACAATACACTTACATTTGATCTCATTATCCTCTAGGATATTAATATTCTTTAATAACAGTACACCTAGTGACCAGAGGAGGTACACTGGTACAGATGGGAACTGAAAGTACAGGGAATCCAGGACGGATGAGCCCTATAGGACCAGTGGTGTGAGTGGCAAAACAGGGAGGGTAAAGGGAGAATGGGTAGGAAAGAGGGAACCGATTACATGGAACTGTGTGTGACCTCCTCCCTGGGGGACAGACAACCGAAAAGTGGGTGAAGGGAGACGTCGGACAGGGCAAGATATGACAAAATACCCATTTATAAACTATCAAGGGCTCATGAGGGAGGGGGGCGCGGGGAGGGAGGGGAAAAATGAGGACCTAATGTCGGGGGTTTAAGTGGAGAGAAAATGTTTTGAGAAACGATGTACAAATGCGCTTTATACAATTGATGTGTGTATGGATTGGGATAACAGTTGTATGAGCCCCTAATAAAATGTTAAAAAACAAAACAAAACAAAAAAAAAACAGTACACCTAGCAACTAGAAAATACACATTAATTCCAAGCATATATAGGGACTTTATTTGAAATCCCATTTTCTGTTTATTAGTAATAAAGTAATTAGCAATAAAGTAATATCAACAAACTTCAAAGAATCTGAATCACACAAAGTCATTCTTGGGTCATACTGCAACCAATAGAAATCAATAATAAAAAGATAACAAAATTACATTAGCTAATTTTAACTTTTTTCAAATAACCTAGTCAAAGAAAAAACTGATACTAAAAGAAAATGGTAATAAAAATACTTTATATCACACTATTTGTGTAGCTAAAATAGCACTCTGAAGAGAAAAAAATAAAGGCTTAGAAGCCTATATTTGAGTAAAAGAAACCATGAAAATAAATGAGCTCAACACTCTTACGATATCAGAAACAATGGAAAAACAAATCCTCCATTTTATATAGAAGGACAAGAGACCCCAAATAGCCAAATAAATTTTGAAGACAAAGTTGAAAGAGGCCTGACACTTACTGACTTCAAAACACAAAGAGGTACTGTTGAAAAAATTGACAGATTTCTAATAAGGTCTGAAGTTTAGTTAACAATAGTCATACTATAGGTTAATTCCTTTATTCTTATTAACTGTACTGTGATTATGTAAGACACCAATATTAGGGGGAGTGGGGTGAGAAATATAAGTACTATTTTTTAACTTCTCTAGAAGCCTAAATTAAAAATTTTAAGTTTTTAAAATGAGGATAAAGTGAATCTGTTATAGGAATAAAAAGTATCCATACATAGTTTTAAATATTAGAGTCCTTTAAGATTTAAGATGGAAAAAAAAGCAGCCCTTTGCCTCTAAATTTCATTAAATTAAGTTGGTTAATTGTGATGTTCAAATAGTCTGTATCACTATTAAACTGTGTGGCTGCTTCACTGTACTCAGTGGTGTTAAGATCTTTCACTATGGTGGTTTCTGTAGCTCTCACCCTTGAGCTCTAGCTTCATCCTTGGAGCTTAAGGACCTGTGAGAAACAGGCCTAAACGTCCACTTAATGCTCCTGAAGACACAGTCCATCGGGAAATCCTCCTTCCCAGTTCCCTCCCCTATATTTAAAGAGGAGGACTGTTTCCTAGAAGTGACTGGATTAATTTTCAACATGCTCTACCATGACTTGCAGACAGACCTTACTGCATTTCGACCATTTCATTCACTTCTACAGAAATAGACTATGGATTGGAACTTTGACTTACGAGATCATTAAGTTCATCTCAAGTTCTTCCCTTCCCTGATCCCCAGTGATGAAAGGATGCCAAGCACAGACGATTCTACCTCATAGAATTCTCCTGTGTTCAGCCTCTCCTCTCCACTTCCCTGACACTGGTTTGGATACCCAATGGATTCCTCTGACTTGATCCAGTACAGTGGTCTACCTTTTTCAACTTCAGCATTTCTGTATACCAGCAAACACTGGAAGATTCTTCCTGGAGCACTGTCTACTAGGAAACCTTCAGGCTTTATATCTGCAGTCTAGCATAGTGTCTAGCTCATGCAGGCGCTCAATAAACATTGATAGCGTGAATAAAGCTATTGGCTGAGCTGCTTGACTTCATAACACTATTACTACTACTATTAACAGGAAGACATTTCCTTGACTTAAAATAAAAAGTGATTTTATATAAAAACAGTGTTTAGAAATTGGCCTAACAAACCATGTTTAAAGGTCTGATGGGTTCATGTATCTATTTTTCTATACAGCTTGATATTTCCACAAATATTCTGGTTGTATGCATTCTCCCTAGTGCTTAGACTCTGTAGAGAATAAACTGGTAATGTGAAATAACAAAGAAAATAAAAATAGCACATTGTTATGTGGGAAAAGATTCAATAAGAATCTAGAAAGAAAATAAAACCAAAATAACCTAGCAGTATAGTGATATATCTATTAAACTAGCCATCATAAATCTCACTGGGAAAACCAGTGCTGGCAGACTGGGAGATAAGTGAGTCACTTCCCTTTCAATACTGATGGTGGCACTGCAAATTGGTTCAGGCTTCTGGTGAACAATCTGGTCAAAATAATAACTAAAACTTTTCACACCCTTGGGTCCAATGATTCAGCTGGAAGAACATACTGTCAGGAAATAGCTCAAAGAAAAATGAATTTCTACACTAATTCTCTTAGTGATAACTAGGTCACAACTAAAATTCCTCAAAAAAAGGAGAATTAACAAGCTAAAGACATATCGTTATATACATTAACATGATGGTCTATTATAAAATCACTTACAATGACAAGCATATGGCCAACGTCAATAAATGAAGATGTGTACACACTCAGCATTAGCTGCACTGCCATTGCTTCTTGTTAAGAGCAAGGACTCTGAAATCAGATGTTTCTGGGTTTGAATCTTAGCCCTACCACCTGTATGCTTTCAAGAAATGTTTCTTTTCTAAGAATGGACTCCGACCATGCATGGCTTACAAATAGTTCATTGCTCTTAAATGTGTATGTTATTTGAGTAGAAAAGACAAGACGATTAAGAGAGCAAGGTCTGGTGTTGGACAGCCTGGGTTTGCATCTCAGCACTGTCACTTACTGGCCAAATGACAAGAGCAAGTGACAACCTCCCGACCTTCCCTTTTCCTCATCATTAATGTGGCTCAGCATATGAATTATCCCTAAAATTCTTATGAGGGTGAAGTGACATAATGCCTGTGAAGTAGTTAGATCAATACATGGCAGGAATTAAGTTCTCAGTAAATGTTAATCATTTGTACAAGTCCAAGTATTCCATCAGGTGCACCCATATTTAATCCCTCTAAGAACTTTATAAAGTGAGTGTTAGTACAAAGTAAAGGAAAAGAAATGATTTCCTAATTAGATGAGAAAAGGAGAATGCTCATAGATTCAAATTGTCAATATGTAAAATAAAATGCATAATGATATCATTAATTAGTACTTCATGATTACTAGGTGCACTTTATTTAAAGTTCATCAAGATTCTTTGTTTTTTCAAGTAGAAGCAAGCTGGCATGAATTAGGGATCAAGTTTCAATGCCTTTATTGACCTATGTCCCTCCTTCCCCCCAGTAGGTCCCAGGCCAGGTATTAAATGTCCCCTGAGCACTGGCTTCTGACCAATAAGTGCTTACCTGGAGGAGATAGAGAAGTCCTGGGACAAACAGGGTGAGTGGGTACAGAGACTGGTATGTTGCTAAAGCAAGAAAAATAGCACTGAGGAAGGCACTGCCTGTAAAAGAAATAAATGTATGGAATAATCCAGCCGCATCCATCAGAATTAGACACAGTGTGCCCCTAGCAACATGAAACGCTCTGTAATTGCTCAATAATCATCTG